GAGGAACCGGACATGGAAGGATCGTTGGAGTCGGCTTGGAAGGCGAGTCCGTTGACATGCAACTGAAGGGATTGCTGTATGTGCCTGGATTGTCCGGAAGTGTGCTGTCAGTGAGCCAAATCACAAGCAATGGCTATGATGTGCTGTTTGGTGTGAAGGATTGCAGAATCCAGAAAGGCAAAAAGGTTGTTGCTATAGGTGACCGGATCGGAGGGCTGTACTACCTAAGGCAGCCGGTAGTGACGTAAAGCAGGAGGAGTGCTACGGAACAGGAGGAGTGTTGTAAGTAGATGCAGTAGTGGGCTTCACTAAGGAGGAGTGTTGGAAGTAAGTAGTGAAAGCCCCTGGATACGCGCATCTATCATGTGAGTCTCTATAGTGGCTCCCAAGATCGAGAATGACAGCTGCCGTATGAGTGTGTATGAGTGCGTGAGAGTGAGAGACTGACGAAGCATAAATTGCTGATGTGTGTACAATTTATGTTTGTTGACTAGTCCATTGTAACTTGTAAATAAAGACGCACGTAGAACGTAGTCCGCGGTTATTTTTTTTTTTGGTATCACGCGACTCCCGAGACGGGTGTTTATTGTCCGGTAGTTCGGTTTGGATAAACCTGTGTACATCTGCTTGCGCTGGGATTCCCACAATTTTATCTGTCAAACTTGCATAGCGAATCAAAACAAACATTGTGTAGTACTAGAATTTCGACTAGAATGGGGTACGTTAATCGTTTGCTTGGGACCTAGTCAAGTAGTGAGCTAATTTAAAATCGTGAGTTTCGTATTGATTGTTGTTATAACTCTGTCAATAGCGGATGGATTTTAATTTTAAAAATGTCAATCGTTTGGAAATTTTTCTAAAAATCTGCTAAAATAAATACCATCAATTTACAATAGGTCACTATTGAAAATTACACAAATGTCCAGCTGTTGCCTTGGTGATCAAAATTATCACCGATTGCCTGCAAAAAGTGCTTTCCCTAACACAGATTTCAAAATAGAATTCGATCCGGTCTCGCCAAACGATACTTATTTAATTAACGCGTGTGATGAGTGGTGGTGTCCTGTCGTTATCATCAGTAGTAGCAGCAATGCTTTCGGCGCGTGCGTTGTACATTTTTTTCCAGCACACGACGAAAGTCTCCCTGCAAGCACCTAGCTATCAAGGCTACCCTAAAGAGCTCTCGATTCACCGAAGAAGGAGGAAGAAGCCGCACCGGATCGGATTCAATTGCTCGACGTGAGCCACTGTGGGCCATCTATGCCAAGCGCCTCACGCTCGTGCCAAACAACATACAGCTAACAGCTCAGCATTACGACCATCACGACAAAACGGTTCTTTTTAGGACCACCATAAACTATTATTGTTTAAGAGTTAATTTTCATTGCACGTTCGCTCGCCTTGCTGACAGCCACATCACCCCCAAAGCCCTTTGATAATGTACCCAGCAACCAAATGTGTGTGGTCATATGAGTAACAGTATTGAATTGGTATATACAAATTCTCGCAAGGACCGAATACCACATGACCTTGTCAATTAGCCAGAAAATGCGTGTATTTGTCATCAGAAAACAAGGCGTTTCCGTGATGAGAAAAATAGTTTTCTCTAACACAGTCGCCGAATATTGATACCGAGCATTTAAGCCTACGTCAACCTCTTAATTTTTCATGAAAGTGCACACTTAGATTTTTTTTGCCGAGATGGGCACCACCGAGCAGCTCGGCATTTTATTTTGCTGAATCTCAGTGAAGAACTTCTATGGTGATGATATAAAAACCGATTTATTTTTCAAAATTAAAGAACCCTATTGCACGTCAAGAATTCAACAGCTTCCAACGCTGTGCAAAAACTTATGTCTTTGGCTTGCAAGGCATTACTCACTAAATTTATCATGTTAAAAATTGGAGACATTACCCAGGGTGGCAAGTTAATCAGGAAAACCGGGAAAACCAGGAATATGTCGGGAAATATGTTAACCAGGAAAAACCGGGAAAAAACCGGGAAGTTTTAAGCAAAACCAGGAAAAATAATAATTTTCAGATGTCTGTCGGTTTGCTAAGTTTTTTCATGACATCTGCTGCTGCAGTTGAACTATTCTTGAAAAGTTTTCAAACGATGAACCTATGATGCCTTTTCTTTTCACCGAATTAACAAATCTAATTAAACCAGTTATGGAAAAATCGGTCAAACCGGCGCTTTTGAAAGTGAATCTCAAATCGCTCATAAGTGTCAAACTTTCTGATGATTCTTTCTTGCCGGCAGCCAATATTGAGCTGGGATTTGCTGTGAAAGCTGCGGTTGAAGGTTCTGTGGGAGAAAAACATAGTGTCGGAGAGAGCCCTCCTAATTTTTGATTTGGGATAAGTGTTTGAACTATGGCTCGGGATTTCCACTGTGGTGTGCTTCTATTGTGACATACCCATATGTATTTTTGTGGTGCGTTATAGTGGAAACGTGAGAGCATAATTGGAAAATATACCCTATATAATTTAAAAATCAGCTAGGAAACTAACTTCAAAATGAAGCATTTTAGTCACTTGAAGGTGTTACCTGGGTCGAACTAAGATATAATAAATAGGTATAGGCTTAAATCAAAAGTACTTGTTTAATTTTAGATTACAAGCACAAGTGCAGGTATTTAATAAAGCATGAGTTATTATTGATTAGGTGAATTAGAGCTTTTAATAATTTATTAAATTAGACTAATGAAATATCATAATCATCAAATGAACTTAAATAAGAAACTTCAGAAAGTCTAATGACATTAAGTAGATTAACAAAAGAATTAGGATGCGGGGGGTCCGCTTAGGGAGGCAATTAACCTTTAAAGTTGTAGAATAAATCTTCTTATTTAGTCTTGAACTTTAAAAGAAAACGCAGGCAGACCAATAGCATTAAGCAGATATACAAGGAGAGGAATAGTTTAGGAAATAAGAAAAGGAAAGGAATGTGACAATTAATTGCTTTTAAACTTTTGGAGGTATTGTATTCCCCTGAGTTTGTTGTACTCGATTACTATATTATTCTCTCAATACGCGAAATCTCTTATATATGCGGTTAAAGCATCTGAGTTAACTTATTTCTTAGTGTTCAAGTACTTACATTTTTAAACAGCAGTCAATGTTAATCTATGAACTAAACCATACGTAAAATCGGTCTTTCCTTATGTGGTATTGATGCATGTTTAACTTTTCCCGGCTGTCGGAATCAACGCGCCTACGTCTACGGAGCTTACGCAGAAGTGATTCGCAATGCGGTAGAGTTCACCAAAAGTTTTTTTTTGAGCTTTTGTAGTATAGAATTTGTTCGGTACGATCGCGAAATCTTGAAATGATTGATACGTGCGGTAAAATAACTAAATTGAAACAAAGCTCAACAGTAAAATAAGTAGAATATTTAGGGAGGAAACCAAAATTAATCAACTTGCCAACATAGGCTATCACATTTATTTTGGTGGCACTCTTTAAGTGATAATAAACTGTTTTTTTTTTACGGTTGTTTCGCGTGGCGTTCACAATTTGCGCGATTTTCGTATCTTACGTAATTTAGATGTTTAGCTCTAAACGGTTTTACTGACTCGAGGTCGTTCCTTAAGCGGTGTTGGTACAGCTTAAACCTTTGCCGACTGTCGGATTCAACGCGTCTACGTCTACGGAGCTTGCGCAGAAGTGATACGCAATTCGGTAGAGCTTGTCAAACGCTTTTGAGCTTATAGAATTTGTTCGGTGCGGTCGCGAAATCTTGAAATGATACGTTCTTTAAATTAACTAATTTGATACAAAGCTCAATAGTAAATAAGTCGGAGCAGCCAGAGTAATAAAATATATGAAGATCACAACATCAAATTTAGTTCTAGATTTGATCGCAGACTCTGCTCGGGTTTGGGCTTGTGTATTGTTTATGAGATGCGATACTAATTTTATAAGGAGTTGCGATAGCCTATCACCCTTTTTACGGGTGGAAACATTATCATTTACGTCGCAAAAGAAAATCAAAAGGCAAATGAAAAATTAAAATAGTTGCAATAGAAAATCACTTATTTAAAAATAATATGAAAGTCGAAATGTTTTATTAACAATAAATAAATTTTTGTAGTTGATTTTTCTAATATTTAATTGCCGATTTTGATTTTTGTTGTTGTAATTTTTATATTTTTAAAAGTAAGTTCTTCATTTATTCTTTTAACCTTTTAAAATTTTTACAAGCAAAGTATTTGTTAATCATTGCTGCAAACTTTCTAATTTATTGTTGCTGTTTTTCATGGTAAATGTTGTTTTCTTTTCGTTAGCGTTTCTTAGGCTGCTGAATGACTATACAGATTACTTCCCGGTCGACTGATCGAATTTTGAATGGTGGCCCATCTCGATTCAGTTTAGTAGTTCAAAAACAATACAGGTACCTAACTGGTGAAAGCCAACTGGAACTTAACTTAAATACAATATAGTAAATAATATGATGATTTTATATTCAGTGTATTCTATATTCAACCAGCGTCTAAAATTGCCTTTTTTTTATTACCGTGGTTTTTAGCCGTAAGCACGTATCAAAAATTGCTTCTCTCTCAAATCAATATGAACGATTGAAGCTCACGTGCTATATACTTTACCCATCATTAATCCATTTATGATATGCGTTTGTAGTGCGTATTGTAGAATCTGAGAATCCGCCTGGCTCCATAAAGAAAAACTACTGTTCACGTAGATGCAGTATCCCACGACGACGTACACACATATGATATAAACAATGCTCCAAACTGTAAACCCTGGAGATGACCGTTTTAAAGTTTGGGGCCATAGACCTGCTGCTTTGGCCATATAGTAGAGAGGTGTAATCAAATTATAATAGCTTGGTGAACTATCGTCAAAACCAACTTTTGACGTCAACTTTGCCATTACGTTGCACTGGCTGTTTCTTGACTAAACTGACTTGACGATATAATAAACAACTCGATACCCTTGAGGAGTGTGATATTCATGGTAATAAAATATTAATTGGATGATACGAGATACGCTAATCGATGTGCGTGCACATTAATATTTTAACATTTTCGTTACTTTGAGTCAAAAAAAAAACATTTACCGTTTGAAAGAGCATAGAGGTTTACATTCACCTTTATGGAAAAAATTGTCATTTAGCGATTGTAGGTGAAACTAATTGGTATAATTTCTAGACTATACAAACAATTTATAGCTACCTTAAATCAATATTTCCTATAATTGATTAATGCTAATATGCAGATGCGAACACTCTATTGTAAATCCACATACCAACGTAGTAGAAGAAAGCGCCATAGATGATTGCCTTGCAAATTTTGTCCACGAACCACATCCTGTAGTGATTATTGAGAAGAAAAAACAAACAATTATTTTATCATATTTTCCATGTGGCTTTCATTAAACTTACACTTTCATGTGCCTTCTTGCAGATGGTAATGTGTCATCTGTTTCTTTAAGAATAAATCTTCTTGCACCCCAGATGCAGTTTTCGAAATAGTCGTTGATTTCAACACCTAAAACATAATCCATTGTCATACACGATAAACAATCATTGTTGTAATATTTACCTCCAGCGTCAATTTTAAATTTGACCTTCTCTGCGTCGTTAATTTGGTCTCTCAGGTGATTTATACCAGCATTGTCGAAGTCCCACTGATTGTTGGCGTAGTATTCAAACACTTCAAATCCCTTGGCGATCCTTCGGTGCACACGACAAAGTCTGAAACAATTTATAATAATGAGCTTGCAGTCAACCGCATGGAAGCCGTCTGTTCGTAGGAGGTGTAGATGGCTAAAAACCGTGTGGCTCATCGTTTCATAACTTACACTGGCTTGTATCCTAGAACGTACAGAAGGCAGTCTATTAGCACCGCCGGAACCCAGTGGAAGAAGAAAGCCGCCAGATTCTGTTGCCATCTGTATTTCTTCATCGTTCCACCTGGGTACCAAAAGACTCCATTTAAAGGTACCTTGTTGGCCACAATGGACTTGCCTAGATCAATGATGCCTTCCCACGATATTTTAATCTCTGCTGAGCTCACTAAATGAAAAATGTTTCGCGCGAAATCCCTGCGAGAATCGTGTGAGATAATAAGCATTAATTAAATTAAATTTTCATTACTGTGCATTAAATCATGCCACTAAGAGTCCACGGTAAAATGAAAGTGAAACCACGTACTTTCTCCCGATGTAGTTCCAGGTGCCGACACAGATGGCGCTTACGCCAAAGTCGACGGGTAGGTAGTCGCCATAGCCGGTTGAGTTGCAATACATCGTACGGATGACGCCCTTTCCTGCACCAATCAATAGACCGACAGGACCGTTGATGTTATCCGTCCATCCGGCGAGCGGTTCTCGCCAGGTTGGTATCACGATTGATGGGCGGAAAATTACGGCAGGTATATCCTTCATCGATTCTACTACTAAAGCTTCGGCGAGAGCTTTGGTATAAGCGTATGTGTTGGGACATTCTCCGAGAATTCTTTAAAAAAAAAGTTGAGCTCATTAGTATTGCTATTGTATTGTATTGCTGAAAACTCAGGATTATATCATGTATGAAAAATGTATTCATATTTAAACTACATACAACTATTACCATTTATTTACATTTATTTTATGTTTATTTTCCATGTAGCATTTTTTTTTCAATACGTCTCAATTTAAACTTGACGATTTTCTTAATATTGTGTTTTATGAATACATCCACTCAGTTGAGAGCAAAAAAAAAGGTCAATGTTTTTATTCAATTCCACAATACAGGGTGATTACTAGTAACTGTCACTAAAAAATGGTCATAATGATTGAATGCATGCATACATTTTTGATAACAGTATATATCAAATATACAACATGTATCAAAGACCTGCTCATTTTAACAGAAATGTTCGGAATGCACCGGGTCAACCGTGATTACTGTTCGTCATGTTAATATGAACTTCTGTGCAAATTTTCAGCAAAACCGGTGATTATTTAGAAATGGTTCAAGTTAATTTTATGTCTTTAAGGTAATTCACGGCTTATAATGTTTATATCTCGAGACGGAAACAACGAAAACTGCTGTAACAACTTTCATAGCAAATTTTAATGTGTTTTCTACCAACTTTGTGACCAAAGGTTGACTATTCAAAGTGATTTTATTGAAGTTTGACTTAGTTTCATGCTCGAAGATATCTTAAAAAGTGAAGAATTTTAAAATATTTGTTGCCCGAACTTTCCACCCATATGATATACAAATGTGTAGTCTACGGCATAATGTTTCTTATACTGTTCTAGAAATTTCGTTCAAACATAGTTTTCGTGTAGGTTTCATAGACTGAGAGATAACAATTAGAAAAGAGGCCGTTATAGCTAAAATTCTCAAGACAACAGAGCCAATAAAAGTTAAAATTAGATTGACAGAACATAGTTGCATTGCTTTTCAATGACGACCCATGACTGTTTCATTGATAGATGATTTTTTTTAGAAATATGAATCCTCAGTAGACGTGTTTTTTTTATCATAGGCAAGTGTCACTCGAGCCATCCAAAATGTTCGTTGTTTTATAAATTGCTGTTAGGCTCGAGTGACACTTGCCTTTCATAAAAAAAATATGTCTACTGAGGATTCATATTTCTAAAAAAATCATCTAGTATAGTAGTGAATTATTAAAATTACCTTAAAAATATAAAATTAACTTGAAGCACCTCTAAATCATCACCGATTCTGCTGAAAATTTTCACAGAAGTTCAAATTAACATGACGAACAGTAATCACGGTTGAGCCGGTGCATCCCGAACATTTCTGTTAAAATAAACAGGTCTAATGTATAACCTTCAACTTAGCATACTTAAATTCAAATCTCTCTCTCTTTTTACCATATTTACCACCCACATTTGTCACGATACTGAATCACAGCTGGCACGCACGTTTTAGTTCCAGCACTTATGGAGCTCTGGCGATGCGCTTAATCTCTTACATTGAATGGATTTTCCATACATGGTGCCTTTGTACCACTATGTTGCGAAAAATTAATGTTTCATTTACTCGAAGAGATTTCAGCTTCTAAAAGATAATACACGAATTTCGACAGATTTAAAACATCCATGGCTGCTTGAAATCGAAAATGAATGAAACTTGTAATCCTACTAAATATACTACTATATTCATTATACCCATTGAGAATTACATACATGTGAAATCGGTGACAGTTACTTCGAATCACCCTGTAATGTTTGAATTTTGATAGATACCTGCATTTACCTAAATGGATTCATTTAAATGTAATATGAAGTATATCTATTTCCTGACAAAGAAGGGGTTTTAGATACCTTTCATGTAAAAGTGTTGCCTAGTATTTTATTCATCATAGATTTTATAAGAATCGTTTTCAAATGCACACATTGCGAAAGGTTGACATTTGTTGAAAGTTATTTAAAAAATAATATTCGAATGTTTTGGAATTTTTTAGATCTGTTCTTGAAAAATTTGAATCACTTAAAAATATTAAATCGCAGGCCATGATGACTAGAAATTCCATGCTATTGTGCAATTTGCAATATATCAAGTAAAATCCAAATGGCAATAAATGATACCAAAGAGTTTTCAAACTTGTGTGCTCTAAAATAGAATTTTCTTATCTTGGTTTTGAAAGAGCGGACGAAGAGTAATTCTTTAGAAAAATCACCCCCATTTGCTACTCCACTGACAAATAAGTATTCTTCAGTAGAAATGTTTAATTTTCCAGATAGAAACTGGATAGAAACATAAAAATTCCATGTGATAAAATTAAAACAAAAAAAAAAAACAGCAATCCGCCAATCACCCAAATTGTGTGTATCGCAAACGTATCCAATTTTAAAGACTAGATACAAAACCAGAATTTGCAAATTGTTTTACATAAAACATGATATTCCGGCATCAAATAAAAATAAAATATGCATCTATCTTCTTTGCGAAAATTGCGTTTTTACGCGTTACGGGTAGGGGTGAACATAGATCTGGCGATTTTTACGGTATTGCGGTATTGAGCAGATGAAATATGTAATGGTATTAAATATTACTGTTAGCTCCATAATATGTATAGCCATTCCATAGCAAAACGATATAGTGGTTCTCAGAATTTCGTAAAAATTAGTAGTTTTGTTCTTTATCGCAAAATATTAGACTCGTATTTTTTTTTGTCATTAGGGTGACCATTTCCATTTTAAAGTGGTTAAAACAATCGATTTTTTCATAAATCACCTTTTTTCAAAAATGCATTTTTTTTTTCAAAAAAACGTATTTTTGAACCACTGAAATTTGTCTAGTAATTGTTAACTATACTGAAATCATGGTAGATTTAACGATATTAAGCATAATCAAGGAATCAAAAATATCTCCAAATGACAAAATGACAAGCGATCAACGAACCAAATGATAACGCTATGTCAGAAGTGGAAAGCAATAATGATATAATCTTCTTCCTTCTTTTTCATGACAAGCTGCCTGTGCGACACAACTCACTCGGGGCGGTAGAAGGAAACGAGCAAATTGTTGGCAAGCTGCTTCCCGAAGTAAAGCCGAAGATGATACACGTGTGTTAATGGGATTTTTTTTGTTATGTCTCTTCTCGATTCAGATCAAGCTATGTCCTCATCCTCATGTATCATCATGTATATTGCAACAAAGCAGGCAAGCAATATATCATTATCCTTCTACCACTCGGATCGAGCTATGGTACAGAGCGAGTTTGTCATGGTAGTCGTAGCAACCGTTTTGTCTGTATCGTTCGTTGCTTTATGTGCTTGGATTCGCTGAGCACGATATTATTGAACATAAGTGTTATCTACAACATAATATTCCTAACTATGATCTTTGTACATTGTGGATCAATTTTCTATTGAGGTTTTTACCATGATAAAATACTTCCTGTTTGCTTTGAGATCCTGTAAATTTATCAAAACAACATTTTAATCAATGCTTACTTGCTTGTGATTCCATCTACAACATCATCGTCCAGCCATTCCACAGCTTTAATGACTTTATGTGGATCTGCGGGAGGTGGGTAGGGTTTCTCCAGCAGCAGTTTTTCATTAAGATGGCAGTACGACGTTGAAATGTATCCAAACATCTACGAGTTGAAAAAATTAAATTCACCTTGAACTCAAAACGGCAACTGCATTTACTTACATCTAGCTTTTTACACTGTTTTGCTAGATTGATCATTAACTTCGTTCCTCGAGTGTTGAGCAGAACCGCCTTCCTTAGCGCTTCATCGAAGCGAATCGTTGCGGCACAGTGGTAGATAATGGATACATTCTCGGTGATCAACTTTCTGTCATTCTCCGATATGCCGAGCTCGGGTTCGGTGACATCACCCGCTATCACCACGCATTGTGCCAGCAATGTGTTGAGCCCACGGAGTTCGATTACTTGACTGAAGAGCTGAAAATAAAGCAGACCATTGAGAAAATCAAAGAATTCAACTAGTATGTGCCTATACAACATAATTATAAGCGGCCATGCACAAATAAGGTACACGCAAACCAAAAATCTATTACAATGAATGTTAGTTCCGTTTCCTATCATCCTCTGTTCATAAACATCGCAACAAATGTTAGAAATTGACCATGCAGGCGATGTAATGGTTTTTTGTCTTTTTTTATTTCGTGTTCCATCTACGCTTTCGACTATACCAGTAAGCTTGTAGAACGACGCACATTGTAGAACATTGTAGAACGACGCACACACTTGTCTCGAATCTCTCCAGCAGAAAAAGCATACGAAGTCGAGCATGCGAGAAAATGAGCGCTTCATGTTTGCTTTTAGCCTAACCATATTCAGAAGCATGGAAAGAGCAGTGGAGAAAGCACAGGTGTGATAGTCACAACGTCCGTGGTACGAGTCCTGTCGGCAACCTTTTTTCTTTTTTTTTCGACATAATTAATTTCACTCACTAATACACTCCACATTTTTCGGTCTCCAATTTTCTTACATAGGACCGCAGCTAGGTATATCGCATCCTCGGTTCATGCGGTCTCCACTAACATCCTCTGATGATGAATCACACATAATTGTAAGCGAATCTTACATCCTCCGGTTGGGTGATACATGCATATAGCTCAGTATACATATATTGGATCAATTTATAGGGGGTGTTTGATAAAATGCCCGACACTTTTGCTTCACGCCTACTATAAGAGCTTTACAGTCGTATCCGGTACCTTTTTCTCATTTTTATCCATTTCCTCCGCATGTCATTTGCACCCTTCATTTTCTTCTTGGTCTTTCTAGGTTCCCGCTTCATCATAGCCCAATGGGCTTTGATTAGGCGTATTTCTGGACAGATCCGTGGATTTATGTCCTAGTGGACAAAATGCACCGAATTAGCTTCATATCATTCCAGCACGCTTTAAGAATAGTGACATGAAGCTAAGTCCAGCCAAAACAATGGTTTTTTACTGTGCTGGCTCAAAAATGGCAGTAGACGTTTTTGGAGACATTCATTTTTCTAAATTTCACCACTTATGGTGCCCTTTGTGAAGAATATTTTACTTTTTTTTTCACAGGTGCAGATAGCCAGCCAAATAAGGTATTTTGATGCAAATTTTTCAAACGATCACTTGAAATTTATCTGGTATTTGTTGGAAGTCAACTTTGACGTATGTTTCATCATCTATCACACAGCAACTGTATCTGGTCAACATTTCCGTGTAGAGCTTCCTTGCGCGGGTTTTGGAAACAGTTTGCTGGCGTTCATCGCGGTTGGGAAGTTTCGAACCTTGAATGCATGTAATCCATCTCTTGCCTTGACCACGTAACTTTGCAAAACACCGACCTTTTTGGCAACATCACTTGTTGAAATGTTGGGATTTCGGGCGAAATTACCCTTCACCTTTCCCTCCGTCTTCCTACATGGTATGACGAACATTCTTGGAAATTGGTTTGGTCTTAGTATCCTAAGAGAAGTGGGCAGAACTAAAGGGTGTCCACGATGAAATTGCCACACACAAAATTGATTCGCAAAATTCGAGTTTTCATCCGATTGCCATCAAATTTTCAGGGATTGAGAAATAACTATTAAACTTCATTTTACCATTTTACTCGTATTTTATTTACAGTCCATACGCAAATGCCCGCACCTTGGCCTTAACCCCGGCCATAAGATTCTGCACAACCTGTGAATCAACCGTTTTTTGCATGTAAACCCATACTTTCTTCAGTTCCTCGACTGTCTTCACTACCTTAGGTCGTTTAAGAAGGTGCTGCTTCATAATCGCCCAGTACTTCTCGATGGGGCGGAGCTCCGGAGTGTTGGGAGGGTTGAACATTTTCGGCACGAAATTGACCTTATTGTCCGCATACCACTTCAGCACGTCCTTGGAGTAGTGGCATGAGGCCAAATCCGGCCAGAAGATTGTTGGGACGTTGTGGGCCTTCAGGAGAGGAAGCAGCCGCTTCTGGAGGCACTCTTTTATGTACACCTGTCCGTTCATCGTGTCCTGGGTCACGAAAGGTGAACTCCGCTTCCCGCACGTGCAGATGGCTTGCCAAACCAGGAATTTCTTCGCAAATTTGGACATCTTCTGAGTGCGAACATGCTCCGGAACGCTGAACTTATCCTATTATCTAACAGGTTGCCGGGGATCTGTTTGAAGTCGGCCTTCACATATGTTTCGTCGTCCATGATGCAGCATTCAACTTTCGTCAGCATGTTGAGGTACAACTTCCTGGCACGGGTTTTGGCGGACTTGTTCTGCTTCTCGTCGCGATTAGGGGCCTTTTGTACCTTGAACGTTCGAAGCCCAGCCTTAGTTTTGGCCTTCTGGACAAAACTTCGGCTTAGGTGCAGCTTCTTAGCCACATCCCTAACGGAGGCGTTCGGATTTCGGTTGAAGGCCCCAACTACGCGGTTGTGATTTTTGGTGTTGTACGGAATACTTTTTCCTTCACTTCTGGGCTTCCGATCGGTGGTCAACCGTTCCTCGAACCGCTTAATCACTCGCGACACCGTGGAATTCGCGATTCCCAACGTTTTAGCGATGGAACGATGCGAGAGATCCTTGTTCTCGTGATGAATGCGCAAGATTTTATCACGCACGAGCTGTTCTTTCGACTCCATTTCCGCGAGTTTTGATCACAGGACTTTAAAACTTGCAGGATGTAAATAATGCACTATGAACTAAATCCACCCAAATTTTCATTAAATTCTACCCAACGGTTAAAAAGTTAGAGCAATTTCATAGTGTGGCAATTTCATAGTGGACACCCTTTAGTATGTGCCAAAATTCATAATGGAACACATCAAATCACATTAGCATTCAAGAAAAAGATCATTAGCTGTACCGGTGAATATATTATGGACATATATGAGGTTTACAGACTCTTTTACCCTTGAACAAAGGCCACAATAAACGGTTTAAACGTCGAGCAATGCAAAACTGACCGTTTGGATTACCCTAGACTGTTATACAATAGAAATATTTATTGCTGCACCAAAATACCCATTGAGTTAGTTCAAATAATCATTGAACATGGCTTTTGCAAAGTTTTGTGGAAATCCAATTGGTAGAATTTATATAATAATTTATTGTAGTCGACATGGATAAAAGAAACCAGCTTGGAAAACTCCTAAATATACCGTATGCGTGATAATGTTTGCACCATTGAGCAATGTCAAAATTAAAAAAATTCTCAAAAATTTCGTTTTCGAGTTTTTTTTATTTATTCAAAAAGAGGATGTTCTTCGGAGTCTTAAACTATGTTAATCATCGATCGAGTTTCCACTTGCTGCATTTGGGGCCTCCACACGCTTCAAGAATGCACAACAGGTTCTAATAATGTAGTCTGGATCCATTTCTCTCCAATGTCAATGTTTGTCGGGTCAATGTTTGTCTGAGACTTGCTGTACTCGGGTGGCGTTTAGAACAGGCCTTGACCTTCATGACGCGCCATATTGAGTAATCCAGTGGATTAAGATCGGGGCTGAATGGCGGCCACATATCCTTCACCCAGAACGGAAGATGTTTCTGCAACCACTTCTGAGTGCGGTTCGAGGTGTGGTACGGAGCCCCATCTTGTTGAAATGCAACATTTGGCTTCGGACCGTACTTTTCTTTGATCCACGAAAGAACATACTTGCTTAAAATCCCGATGTAGACTTCCGTGTTGACCTTGTCGCCTTCTGGAATAAACACCGGGTCCATTTTTTGCCATCGGAAGCCACCAATCCAAACACCATAACGCTAGCAGGATGCTTAGTCAAATACACGTTCTTGTGCTCGTCGGCCACGTCTTTTACCGGAAGAGAACTAATATTCCGGTCAGTTCTGGAATTTGATACGGGATCGACGGTAAACATGCTCTTGTCGGTGAACAGGATTACCGGATTTTTTCGCTTAAGGAAGTTCAAGATTTTCATGTATCGTTCGACTCGTAGCTCCCGGATGCGGTTGGTAATCATGTTAATTTTTTTTCCGTGCCCTCGACTTCGCACCGCAATCTTCCTTTACGATCTTCCGTGCCGTAAAGTCACTGATCCCGTGTTCCTTTGCCATTTTCCTTATTGAACGCACTGGATTCACCCGAATCTTCCTTTTGATAGCAGCGATAACCCTCGGAACCCGAGTTGACCTCAGACGACCTGTGGCCACCCTTTCTTTTCTCGGTCTAAAACCCTTTTTACGGTCCATCGGGACACTCCCATAACGATTGAAATGTCTTTTTGGCGACATTTGCGCGTGGGACAAATACGCTGCCACTTCGTCATGGTGCAACTGTCAAACTAAGTAAATCATTTTCTTTTATACACAGCCTACTACGGTATGAGCTATAGGTTACGTGCATGCAAAGAAAACCAAGGCATTGTATGCACAGGTGAAACGTAAACCTTATTTGTACGATGGTGTAAACATTATCACGCATACGGTATGTATCTTCATCGATGATCATCCAATGATTTTCGTGTATTTTGAGAAATCCTACAAATAGGATTTCCGTAAAACTTTTCAAAAATACATTTTGGAAAATTTTTGAACTAACTCTTTGATTATTTTGGTGCCACAATAATTTAATACATGCTAAATCAAAATTCGAAAGACCAATTTCCCATACATTTTTGTATGACATCCTTATCCCTGGGTATAAAACCAATTGCCCCCTATTCTTTAGACTCTAAACTATCATTTAAGACCAAAAAAAAATCATTTTTTTTGAAATATCGGCTCCGTAAAGTTAACGCGATTGAGATTACAAATAAACGAACGAGAGAAAAAATTTCAGGATCAACTCGTATCGTCTTCCGGTTTTCAATAAAATTGTTTAGCATATAATTTCCTATTCTTAGATTTTATTAAAATAATTCGTTCGCAAATAAATGCATTTTAAGATTGCACTCGTATATCTCACCGTGCAAAATTTTAAAACATGCATCACTTTCATAGTCC